ATTTAGTTCATACAAAGTGCATAATACTGATGCATATTTACTTCATACACAATGCATGCTAAGGGTCAAAGGTCAATGTTGAAAGTCAACGCCGGAAGTCAACGGTCAACGACGAAGTCAACGGTCAACGCCGGAAGTCAACGATTTTCGCTGGAAGTCAACGGTCAACGCCGGAGTCAACGGTCAACGCCGAGTCAATAGTCAATTGTCAAAATAATATTTAAATAAATAAAATAATAAAATAAAGAAATAAGTAATAAAAATAAAGAATTATTATTTAATTGAAGAGTTAATCTTAGCCACACATAATGTACCAATCTAATGGCTAGGAATGGGTCTCACATTCACACTTTAAATATGTGTACTCATTGGATCCAATCCATATATATATATATATATATACATATATATATACTAGGAAGATGCACGTGCTACGCACGTGGTATTTTTTTTTCAAATTATTTTTAGTATTAGGTTTATATTTAAAAGTATAATATAATTTTTTTTCATTTAGTTTAACAAAAAATGGTGTATTTTATTGAATAATGAAATATAGTATTTAATACTATTATTTGTACTCTATGATGAATAAAATTATTAAAAAAGAAAAAGAAAAAACATTGGGTTGAAAACCAAAAATAAAATTAATATTATTTTAGTGAAAATGTAAATGCTAAAAAAATTTATAGTCTTTGATTTTGTTATTTAATGATATCTTCATTGTGTTTAAAATAATGATCACTATTATTGTCTTCATAATATAGCTTTCTAATCTCATCCTTTTACATCACACTCTTTGAAAAATAACTCAAATTTGCTATAACTATAATTTATAATGATTATTTTTTATTTATTGTCGATTGGAAGCTAACAAACTATGTCTAAATAACCAGTTCTCAATTATTTTGATTACTGTGGTTGCAATTGTAATTATATTTGCAAGTATAATATTTCATAATACTTAGATATATATATAGTTATTCCATAGTCATAATAACATAAGAGATACATAAATATTTGAAAATGTCTTTAATTCAAGTTGTAATTAGCTAATTATTTCAAAAAGAAAATTTACTTGAAAAGCATAGGAATAATAACATTTTTATTAATTAAAGCTACCCATCTATCTATATATCTTTTCCGACATAAATTATTGTTGCATCTCCTAACATTGTCATACATCCATTATCTTCATTCACGAATTTTCAAGACTATCCTAAATGTGAATAATTACTAATTCCAGTTTAAATGAATTATGTAATGATGATTCTCTCATATTTTATTTTTATCTTAACATTATTTTTATATCTTCGTCAACATTTCATCCCTACTTTTGCTTAAAATAATTATCATTAATATTGTCATCAAATATAGTTTTCTATGTCATTATTTTGCATCATACTCTTTGAAAATAATTCGAATTTGTTATAACTATAATTTATAATGATCATTTTTTTATTGTAGATTGGAAGCTAAAACATTATGTTTGAATAATTCGTTCTCAATTATTTTGATTATA